ACAATCTTTACTGACCTATACACTTTTAACTTTTGAGAAAAAAATCAGCTTTAAGTCGGATCCACGTGTGGCATCTCTATTACATGTTCTATAATTGATAAAGATCTCTCATTGAGACATTGTCTAATTAAGTGTGCAGCATATATTCATCAGAGTGTGTTGATATGATTATCCTTTATGAGGTACACTACTGTAAGTCACTGTGAACTGAAACAGGCTCATTAAACGCATCACTAGTTTCCCTGTTTCTTCCAGGCAATAACTTTGATGAATGGCAATGCCTGTGTTTGAAATAAAAGGGCCTGCAGGATCAGTTTGTATTCAAATGTAACATTCATTTTTAATCAAGCAGAAAAAAACACCCAGCTTCCAGAAGCACCTGGGTATTTACAACTGACTTTTCAGTAAGGCATATAAACCCAAACAATGTTTTAAACAATAATGGTTCAGAAGGAAAGATGAAGGGAATGTAGAATCACAGAAATACAATGGTGAGTGTCGAGTTCAGCTACATACCTCCCTTTAACATCCTTTTAGGTGGCAGTGCCGGCACCACTCTGTAGGCAAATCTCTGAAGCAAAATCTCATGGAAGACATCAAAATCACTATAGCGCCTGTATACTGAAATCTTCAAACGCTAAAAAAAGATAAAGCAAAGAAAGAAAATGATCAGATAATGGGCAGGAGCATGCAAGACTAGGTTTTCTGTTGGCTAACGATGGAAAACAAATCTGTACTTTTCTTAATGTCGACTGCAAACTCAACAAAGAGCCCTTGCAGTAAAAGTAATCCACAGAGTAAATGATGTAAGCCACACAAGATTTAGAAATGAAAAAGATAAGTGAAAAGAAAATAAGTAAGACAAACATGAAGTATACTGCACCACAAGTTCAGCTTTTCTTGTTGAGGTTATTCTAAGACAATCATTTACATGGAGAGGGGTATATGGGGTCCCTTGCCTGGCTGGTGACCTGGTACTCCACATGTTTGAGGAACAAGCCCTTCTTCTCCGGTATGAGCTCCAGCTGGACTGTGTCTCTGCCCAGCAGTTTGTCCAGCGTCTGGGACATAGTCAGAACGTCCTCCTGAGCCGGCTGCATCCTCAAAGCGTTCAGCTCCCGCGGCTCCCCGAGCTGAGGTTTGGGTAACTCTGTAAAGCACACAACCAGTACCAACTTTTCACAATTGTTTTCATGAATAAATCAAATTAAAACAAAATGTATTTCCTAACTGTGAGGAAGGCTGGTGTTAAACCCACTTTTCTCTATTCAATAGATGTGTCTCACTGTATTTTTCTTCAGCTAGAACAGTATTGTGCCTTTTATTCATCCCTTTCTGTGCATTCCATGAAGGTTGTGAATTGAATATAAAGTACTGTGACGAATGCAGAAAACTTGTTCTTGCTCAGATGAGGAAGTGGCATGCAGCTAGATGCCATACTGGCCACACCTGAAATAACAGAGAGAGCCTTAAATAATCACAGAAGGTTGGGAATGAATCTAAATCAGGCCAGAATAATGGCTACCCCTATGAAAACCATATAACTCCCCCCTATCATCTTCCCACTGTGGGACAAGTGAAGGAATGCAACACTTAAACACTGCTTGTGTTAAGTAAATTCTGTTTTTGTGAAAGAAAGGAAAAGTATGGGATGATCCAATATGGGGTATCATTTCCTCTTTTTTTTTTTTTTTTTTTTATAAATACTCCCAACTTTACTTCTGTTGAATTGAAAAAACATGGTGGATATGTCCCAGTTGTAAACTGTCACAAATAATTTCTGTTAGGAATGAAACCTTGAGTCTATATGAGCCAATAAAAGAGTGACATTTGCCCTGCTCATGTGCAATATATTACAGGATAGCTGAGGTTGTCCTCACAAACACAATGGGACCATCAAGCTACTCATTAAGCAAAAGTATAATTGTCACTGTCACACTGTCACCTACCTTGAATGCAGTTCTCCAACAGTTTGGGGCTTGGTTGCTTCCCTTGTTGAACAAGAGCAATCAACGCGAGCGCTTTATAGAGAGACAACTTGCTCAAGAATCCATCTGTGGAGTCAACTTGCTCAGCAATCTGAGAACGACAAAGACAATATGGCGCGTCTCAGTACTAAATCCAAATTCAACTGCATTCCTCTACGCAAAAAGTGCTCACTAGACAAAAATGCGATGATATGCTGATGGTCAGGAAAAGGGAAATTCTACTGAAACATGACAGACATAACACACTCCCAGCAATGTCATCACACTCATGTATTGAAGCATTACGTAATATGTCAGCATTGAAGGAACAACATGTGATAGTTTGTAATTATAAGCTCATGTCTTTATAAGTCTGCTAGCATACATCAAGCTTGTACCAACCCCCTATTGATAAGACGTTGAATCTATACCTACATTATCTGTTAGCTTTAATACACTCACAATATCTTATCAGAAACAAACCAGTATTTGCAAAAGGATATTATATACCCCAGTGTTTAACTCATTCTTAATCCTTTTATTAGAACAACACAGGGTTAAGCCTTTTTTTAAATATCAATATTTTTATATTCCAGTCCCTTACCACCCTGACAGTCTATGTTAGCCAATACATGGATATAAAGAGTGTGGGATAGATGGATGGATGGTTAGACACGAGGTATAGCAAGCTGCCACATGCCAAGACAAGAAGCAGAGTCATTATTTGCAAATGTTATTTACTGTTGCTTATGTTGTTTACAGTGGCGTTGTTAGTGCTTTTAACAGCTTTTTAAAGACTTATGCTCCAACTTCTTGATTATTTAAGTGTGAACCCCTCACCTGGCCTAACACCGGCTTGGAGATGTCGGTCCTTTGGAGCAACCGCTGAAAAACTTCAACCTGCACTCTCTCATCTGTCCTACAGCGGATGGCCTCATATACTTCCCTGTAATAGCCAGGAACTGATCCTAAAAGAGGAACAACACCTACATAGCATCACAACCATCCAAAGTACTTAATCAGCAGCACATGCCTTGTAAAAACACTTCAATATAACACTTTATTTTTTGCATGTGTGGCACTCAATACTGAGATAAGGGTGATCTTACCACATTTTAAAGGACTTTATTTGAAATGATTTGCATTATATGACTATTTAATTATCCCAACACATATTATAACGTTTTCTCTGATGATTTTATGGTAATTAAATCAGACACCGTCAAATGAACTGTAACCCTATCCTAGCTTTAAAGAAGTGAGTAGTTTTTACAATATACACAAATCTGAGCGCTAACTTATAGCCTACTGCAATGCACAATCGACTGTTTTTCACGTGGCAGGAAAATAAACACATTATAACGTCCATAAACCTGACATAATCTTTAATATTCATAGTTACAGCATCGAGTATCAACAAGGTATACCAAAATAAGATCAAACCCTCATAGAGTGTTGAATATGTAGCAACTTCATTTCGAGATCTTAATGTACCCAAAAGTTCTCAATGGTTTGTTCACATAGCGACTCCACCGAACAGAAATGTCAACCTTCTAAAACATCTGAAACATTATGTTTAACCGGCTTAACAATGCAACAACAAACAAAACACCAACGTTGTTCGAAAATGATAAGTCAGCCTTGTGTTAAGAGGAGTATAAGAAGTTTTCGCTCTGTACCTTCATTGATCTCTCCTGCCATGGTTCAGACTGTCATGTGAGCGCAAGAGCACCTCCATGTGATTTCCTGCAGAAGAGAAAAAACAAGTAATTTATCTCTTAAAGATGTAGTGAGCGCTGGTTAAAGTCCAACTGTGGAGAGAAGCACTATAAACTGAACTCACAGGCAGCTAATGGGCACATCATGGTTTGCAGTAATCTAAACATTAGGGTTATAAAGGAGTGAAGAAGCGCTGGAGGCTGTTTTCATATCAAAGCAGCTCAAATCAGTAGCTCTCTTAATGCAGTCTATGTGTCACCTAATATTCCTAGAAATATTGTCTTACTAACACATCTGATGTTTCCTTGTTTCACTTGTGCAAGTAAACTTTCCTTAATTGTATCTTCCTCATTCTTCGAACACAACAGAACGCTGCCTTCAAGGACTCCTGGTAAATTTGACTACATGTACAAAATCGTTTTTTTCAAAATTTGACTTGCCGGTATTTGTACATTTTGTATAAAGCGACAATTCTATGGAATGTAAAAGTGGGCTTTATAATCTACCTGTTCTGCACATTACTTGTCCCTTTTTTCACGTTTTCACTCAGGGTGGTGGGAAGGGGGGGCTACCAACCTTGGTGCCCCTCATTTAAAAATTAAACAAGGCAAAAGTTCCATCTTGGATGCCACTATGGAAGTTAAAATATAACAACATGCCCTTAAAGCAGTCATTCTTGTGTAAAATATCAGATGAATTGTTCTCCAGATAGAGCTAGGCGATATATCAACAACATCTAACATCATATTTTTGACCAAATAACTCAATACATATATTGCAGACATTTAGTTGAATGTGAATATTGGTTCAGTCACAAAATATTGATTTTTAATAAATAATCAGTGATGTGGAGACATATTGCTGACTATGACTAAATGGGTAATACTAATATGACAATCTATGAAGAGATAGAACAGTCTAGTAAGGTCAAAAACTTTTCAGTGGAAAAAACGAAACGCACTGCACATACTCCCCAACCACTGAGAAAATGCAATAATGTGTGGCATTCAGATGAAAAAAATATGAAGCAGCCGCAGAACCATACAGGCTATTAGAAAACATATTGCCAATTATGAACCAGAGCATACAGTTGGTGCCCTTTTTATTTTGTAACCCCTGCCCTTCAGAAATCCTGAGACTGCCACTGGCCCCGAACATAGCAACGCTTTCTTAGCTGTATTCACTGTTTAGTAGTAGTTTTTACTAGTTTTACTATTACCCACACTACTTGAACTTCTCATGAGCTCCTCGCCATGGAGCCTCTGGATGGCGCTGTTGGGTCACTTTGTGCCGGGGAGGAGGGCTGTGTGCGGGCCGGGCCGGGGAGAGCCAGCTGGTTGAATGTCGTGAACAGTCTCCCTAGTCTCGCTGCACTCAACTGATAACCGGATTGAGCTTTAACTCGGACGAGCTTGTTTGTGCTATTGCGATGGAGTAAGACTGTAAAAGAGGAAACGAGGAATAACCGACTAAAGAAAAAAAGGATGTAACAAACCGACAACCAGAATGCGAAGTGGAACAAAAGAGACTTCTTGTTGTTATCCGCCTCCGTGCCCGAGTTCAGCGGACTGAACTAACCAGCAGCTAAACCGGCTAACGTTAGCTGAGTTAACGATAGCTACATTACCGGTAAAACAAGCTTTAAAATCGTTTATTTTTTATTAAAAATGTGAATAAAACCCCTGCACTCGGCAGGTTACTGCTAATATTGCACCAGGATGACCGCCAGCGACACACAGTTGACTTAAGTTGACATGTTAACAAGCTAACTAACGCTAGCTTCAGGTTGCCTGGACAAATAGCTAGCCACTAGTTAATGTTAGCAAGCTACTGGATCTACTTTTATTATATTTAACGCGAGCCAACGCAAGCTTACAAACTTCGTTTCTCTTGCTAGATGAGCAACACTGCTTTTGTCTTTCATCCCGGATACAGACGGACTTTATAAAGTGGATTCCTTTCTGTGTTTACAGTTTCGAGCATCCTTGTTTGCCTGTTTGTGAGTGAATCTCATTGACTTGCTCGCCATGGCAGCAGTGGTTAGCTACTCCCCACCATGGTGGGTGAACATCATACACAGACTTCCCCATTTCAACTTCATGTTCGAGCAAACAAGCAGTGACTTCCGACCAGAAGACTGGACATATCAACAGGTAACACAAAATACCTCTCTGACCCCTCTGTTTCATATCAAATGACCCTGTGATTCCCCGACATCCCATAGATGCATACAACTAGTGTTTGTTTCAGTGTAGAGTTCACTGTCCACTTCCTGGAACAGGATTATAAAGTGAATGTGGTTGTGTTGATACTTTTAGATCTGCAGCCTTACATGTATTAGTATTTTCTCAGTGACAGATGACCTGTTCGCACCTGTTCCTTCTTTTCACCTTTTGATCCATGTCACCATCTGTGTGTAGGTGTTATAGCGACGTCTTGACCTTTGCCAGACACAAACCAGCTGTCTTTATAAAGTGTAATCAAAGCCACCTAAACTGTCATATGCTTTATATTTAATCTATAACCATAACCTGTATTTGTTATGGCAAATGAAAGGCAGTTAGACTTTTCCCCTTAACTACTCTACATGTCTGAACTATAGAAGTTCAACTGGTAGCAAAGGTTTACAAGTAGACTGCCCAGCCTAATGAACAGCTAAGACTGGGGGAGGGCACAGCAGCATATTTTTCACAAGATAAATATGAAAGAGAATCCCTAAATTTGGGTCAAGAGGTACTTTCCTTTCATATGGCAGTCATAGTTTTAAAGGATGTTTAGCACGTAATGTCTCCACATTAATTCAGATTGCTTTCTGCTACTCCTCAGTCGATGTGCAGAAGTGATAGACACAAACAAAAACACCAACCCTGACCCTGTTACCTTTGACCCACATGATGCAGTGAAATGACTGCATACATCCTGTTTGAAAGAAAAAGAATCACTGATTGTGTCAGATGGCACAGCGTTAATACGGATTACCTGTTTGGTTTAACATTAACGAATAAATCCTACAATCCTTCAAATCCCCCTAAGAAATGCTGTGCAAACTGTTAATTAACTGTTTAGTTCATTTAAACTGTTATTTTGCCATGGGCACGATAAATAGTTAAGTTTACCATCCTAAAATGATTTTTAAAAAATGGTCTTTAATTCATTTAATAATGGACTTTGTTTATTTTTCAAAATGCATCATTACTAATGCTTTTGTGCAGTTGTGGTTTTTAAAAGGTTCTGAGAGATTGGGTGATGAGGGCAGAGGGAATACATGGAGATAGAGGGTAATTTTCTAACCAAGTAAAAAACAATTGGCAGACATGGGTGTAAGAGAATGGCGTGGGTCCACCTTACAGTGGGAGTAGAAGTGATTCATGGTTCCTGAAAGATGGGAAGACATGTTCCAGACATGCAACGGTGTAATGTTACAGCGTACACAGACATTCATGTTGAAAAAAAAGAAATAGGAATACAATACTTGTTCATTTGACTTTGTGTTGGTGTTAGATTTTTGCTGTCTTATATCTTAAATTAATCCATGATTTAGTGGCAATGCTGGCCCCTATTTCTAACAGAGGGAATATGTTAGGGAGTGTTGAGTTTGACTGAGAAGGTCATCATTGTACCATGATCTTAGTTGTTATTGCCCAGCTCTGCGCTATGATCGGAGCCTCTTCCTGTTAGCATACAGGAAGTGGTTTTTGGCTGTATAATGGCTGCAGCTGTGTGTTCTTGGCGCTTAGTGTGTAACAGCTAGAATTTCAATGTAAACAAAATACATCTTAAAAGGATATTCAGTGGAAACATATACAGGTAAAACAGCTGTCGGAGTACAATTCTATCGCTTCCCTTACACCGTTAGCACCACAAGAAGAGAAAAAAGAGGTCATGATTAGACTAGCTTACTAAACTATTATCATAACCTTACTGTGATGACAGGCTGCTCATTATCGACGATGCAATGCTCTCACTGGCTTCAGGGGGAGTGTTGAATTGTCAGCTGTCAGTGGTGCTCAATGTTGGACTCTTTTATCATGATGCCACCTGGGGTGCCTTTTACATTGGCACCCTTACCACACACACATCAGAAGCTTGTGTGTTTTAGTCTTGTCCTGATAGTTCTGTAATATTATGTTATTCTGTGTGTTTTAGTCCTTTCGATATTTATAATTTTTTCTTATGGTTATGATGATTGGATTGCCCTCTGCCAAACTCCAGGAAGTGTAGCTGCTGCTGCAATGATGCAGATACTGTTTTATTTAGCTGTACAGAGCAACATACAGCGGCCAAGTCTGCCAATGATGTACCTGATTATCCAGTCCATCATTTCTTCACAGTCAATACTAAACAGGGTTGGTTTAAAGGAATAGTCTCACCAAATATTGTGTTGTCAAGACTGTGATTTGAGGCTTCAATTGTTCTGAGATTGAGTTTACTCAGTGCCATGAAACAGACAGACAACCACAGCATCAGGGCGTGTCAGCCACTGTGATGCATCGCTGAGAAACCTGAACAAAAAGATCAACCCTGAGTAAAACAAAAGTTGCAGGATGGAAATTGGCCCCAGCCGTTAATCCTCAGGAGCACACAGTGAACACAGAAGCCCTCTGTCTGACCTATATACTGTAGGAAGTGCTGCTGTTGGCGGAGAAGTTTCAGTTTGATTGTAAGTTGCTCTTTCGTTAGCTTTGACATTATGCCATTGTATCATGTTGATAGCTGTAATATGCAGCATAGTTTACACTTTGTGTCTTGTGGAGTTTTTCAGATTTTCAAGTATTGAGCTTTCAATTTATCTTTCATTTGGAAAGCTTTGTCACTAAGCTATTTCATTAAATAGAGGGCTTTCTTTTCATTTGAATGAAAGTGATACGTCCTATAGTATTTACTGTATTACTTAATCAGCAGGCAAACACTTTTCTTCCATCACAGTGAAAAATTAACCTGTAAGAGATTTTAAAGGGGTCCTATTATGCTTTTTGGGATATTCCCTCATGTAGTAATCGGTTTTTGCGCATATAAATGGTCTGCAAAGGCTAAAATCCCAAAGTTCCCTATTGAAGTTGCATAGTGACATCACTATTCAGCACTCAAACACATCGTAGGTGATAGGCTAAAGGGCGGGACATCTTTAAGCGGATGTCCAATTACATCAGCCGGCCAGCTTACAAATCAGAGCAGACTGGGCTCTGGTTTCAGACAGAGGGTGAAAAGAGGTGCTGCAGCCCAGGCAGTAACAATAAGGCACTTTTTTGACATTAAAGCATGGGAACCTTTCACAGTAGAACATGAGCATTATCGGCCCCTTTTAATATTTGAATATATCATGCAGTAAAAAAAGGCAATGCATTTGATAGGTTATTGTTGTTCTTCAGTGCTACTTTGTGGTGTTTCTCTGTGGGAAACTTCTGAAGCCTATTATTCCAACTGTTATTGATGTGAGAGTGGTTTTGGCAATAAAGCAATAACCCCATCCTTCTCTCCACCAGTCTATCCTGCTACTGGGAGGAGTGGCGCTCGCTTGTCTGGCCCTGGACCTCGTGTTCCTACTCATCTATTCCATTTGTTTGTGCTGCCGGCGGAAAAAAAATGAGGGTCAGCCCAGCGCAGACTGCTGCTGCACTGCCTGGTGTGTCATCATCGCAACACTCGTCTGCAGGTGAGTCAAAACACAATCAGAGTGGTAAGCATTCAGTCCCTGTTTCCAGACCCACAAGCATGTCCTTATCTTTTAATGCAGGCTCATGCGTCCTTTTATCCTGAAGAATTTTCCAGAACAACCTCAGGAGAGTTTCGACCATTCATCGATTTGTAAATAAGTAATTATTAAAAACCATTAAATGTGAATCATTAACCACGAAACACTCAACATTTTGCTCATTCCCTTCTATATAATTTGTTCAATACTTTTTTGGCAGTTCACCACAGACATTGATCCCAGGTACATTTAATGGAATGCTACTTTTGAGGTAAATGGTGTGAGAACTGTACCATATGGACATGCTTTCTATCCATGAACACTGCATTTCTTTCCCGTTTTCCTCTTTCTGTTGATGGGCCACTGGAGAGCGGTTGATTCAGAGTGGCACAAAGAGCTTGGGGACCTGATGAGTACAGGAACTGCATTACAATCTTCTGTGTGTGGGCTTGTACCCACGCGCACATGTGTTTTTGTGAAAGGAATATCTGCAGAAAATCCTACATTTCTTTTAGTTTTGTCTCTAGAGTCAGAGTCCATCCCTGCACGCCTGTTAGCAATAATGAGATTGTCCTATTTTTGTGTGTGTTTTCGTATCTATTTTGAAGTGTTTCTTGCGGTATAACTGGAAGTTTCCACCAGCCCATCATCACAGCAGGGAGGTTTGTTTTGTCTGACACTGCTCCTGTTCACCTTTTTCACACTGTGGAGTCTGAGAGGAAGAGATTAGGAAGCGGGGAAAGCCCGTTGATTCACTGAGGGCTGCCGGCTGAACACCATTAGATTTAGATCCGAGTGATTCGCTTATCATCCTCTTACTTGATCAAATCCACTCCGGCATAGTACTGGGATTAGCAAAAAGACCAAAAGCTGCAACACAGGAAGAGATATCAGATCTCGCTTTAAATCACTAAGGGTATATAAATTGAGTTTATTTCTTGTCACTGACATTTACAAAGACATTTTGCAAATTGTACGTCACACACACATTTTCTGAATATTTTAAAGTTATTTTGTCGATCTACCTATAGAAACTGTTTCTCATGCAGTTGCTGGATCTGTTTTCCTGCAACCTGAGGCATGTCTGTGCAAATGAGAGCTGATCTCCTGCCTCAGTACAGCCTTTGTCAGGCCGAGTGTGAAGTTTTGGGGCATCGCTGGTCCATTCCTCCGTGTTTCCATGGTTCCGTAAGGAGTCTTTCTGCTGGAGCTGAAAGGGGCCCGTTGACCGGGGTCTGAGCCGAGGGGGTTAATGTGGAGTTCACACGCCTCTCTGCCTGCCTGGCTGTCCCTCTCGCTGTCTCCTCTCTGGGTTCTTTTTTAGATAATCCCTCCTCCTCCTCACCACCCCTGTCTCCCCACCCTTCCTTTTGTCTCCCCTCAGCGCTGGCATTGCTGTCGGTTTCTATGGGAACGGCGAGACTTGTGATGGAGTGAACCGGCTGACGTATTCCCTGCGCCATGCTAACCGCACAATCACCGGCGTGGAGAAGCTGGTAAGACTCGGGGCACAAATTATACCAAAGTGTTTAATAATTCATCGTCCTGCTGCCATGAGCATCGCTAGTTCCCCCTCCCAACAGAGCCCCCTTTACTTCAGGAATCACAATCAGATACAGGTTTATTGCCCAGTAGGTTAACACAAACAAGGAATTTGCCTTGGTGTTTATAAAAAAGTATATATAATAAAAAAAGGCTATTGTAACATTCAAATATAGAGCAATATTAACATGGAATAAAGATATACCCAAAAACTACTTACAGTATAATAAGACAACATTCATAAAAATAAAATAAAAAAATGTGCAGCATTGGTATGAAAAGTGGAAAGCTGTGCAGATATTGAAAGGGGTAGCTTTGTGAAGGTTGTGCAGGACTGACAGTATTATTATTATTATTATTATTATTCAATTCCATCATGACCTTGTTTTTATATTCTGGTTCCAGGTTTATGACAGCACATCCTCATTGAACCAGACGGTAGAGTACAATCTGCAGCAGCTCGAAGGCCAGTATGCGCAGCATGCCGACTACCTGTCCATCATCCAAAAGCTACAGGGCCAGCTGGACGAGCTGGTCAAACAGATGGTGGAGATCCCCTTCTGGGAAAACCCCAACATCTCCCTGGAGGAGCTGGCTGTCAATATTGAGCTGTACGACTGGTACAGGTAAGACTCTGATGGTGCAGTCCAAGCAACCGTTGAAACAAAGAGTGCCATACAGAATCATGCAACACATTATATATGCAGCCCCTGCTGATGCTGCAGAGCAGGGAGTGGCAGCAGCAGGCAACAACAGACCATGATTCTACGTCTCTTTATTACACTTTCAATACAGATACACACTCTTTCAGTAATTCACTGGCTTGTGAATACTGTGCTGACGCTCATCTCTGAGTTCACATATCGTCAAAAAGTCACTTCCCTGGCTAGACAGTGCAGATGAAGCCGCTCGCATGTCTCTGAATATAAATCTCTGAGGGAATTAGGAAGCAGAGGCCGGCCCAGACAACAAGGGATTAATTGAAGTTGTTCAGCATATCATCATGCAGCATACATACCAACAGCCTCAAACCTGCGTTGAGTTTGGTGCTAAATATTGAAGAGTTTGTAATCTCTCGGGGGTCCTTGAGTTTTCTAACATGTATGCCTAATATTTAAATATGCAAGTGGCTTAAGAAATGGAGTCATAACATGAATTCAAAGCAGAAAGGATGAGATGCATATTGTAAATACAAATGCAGGGGTTGCAAAGTCACTTATGTTGTTCAACTTAATCTTAAATAATCTATAATTGATATTTTTCATAATGATGTCAAATGAAGATGTGAAAACATTCAGGCAATGTAAAATGGAGTTATCTCCTTATCATCCTCCTTTCCTTTTAATGAGATTTAAATAAATGATTTTTGGTTAGAAACATAATTGTTTATAGAATAAGTATTTTTGCTTTGGTGGGTTTTAACAAAATTGTGCTTGCTCTAAGGGTAAAGCGTATTTGTTTTCATTAGGAAACGCTTTGCTGTGCTGCTCTTGGCCATTTGTATTTACTGACATGTGTCCCCACAGGTGGCTGGGCTACATAGGCCTGCTACTGTTCGACATCCTCATCTGCCTCCTGGTGCTGTTTGGCCTCATTCGAAACTCCAAGGGAACGCTTATAGGGTGAGTCTCATCACAAGATCATGGCCACAAGAGCACTTAAGGGAAATTATTTGAGCTGTTGTCACAGATTTAGTGGCAATTATTGTACATGAAGCTTTCAACTGATCAAGGCCACATTGTCATTACAGTTTAGTCAGGATGAGTCAATGCCCTCTGAAATATCAGCACTGTCACAGTTCATTTAACATAAGGACCCTGATATCCTCAGTGTGTGGGTGACCGATAACGTCACTTTATGAGACACTTAGATATACAGGTTTGTCCTTACTGTTTTATGTTCATTAGAGCAGCTGTAGAAAGTCTATTTGCTTTTTATAGGCATTGCCAGAGAAAATAAAACCTCTTAATGTTTGCCCAGTTTTCCCTTTAAGGGCACTTAAAGACTTAAAGGCAAGTGTCTAATCAAACAATTCATTTTTACACAGTAAGTTACACGGTGATGGCAATACTTGGAGTTAATACGTTAAAGCCATATATTTGTATTGCTTAATTTAATAGGGTTCAGTCTGTTACTGTGATTCAATGAGTAGTTTGTTCTGCTTATTGTTTCCCCATTGAACAGTCTTTGCTAAAGGGCTTCCGCATCCAGATCCAGGCGTATTTAATTTAAAGGTGCCCTAGTATGCATTTTGGGGTTTTCCCTTTCCTGTAGTTTTATAGGTTTTTGTTCATATTAATGATATGCCAAGGCTAAAATCTTAGAGTTCCTTCCAGAGGGAGCTTCTCTCCCCCCCACCCGCCTCCATTGGGCGCAACATAGTGACATCACTATGTAACACTTATGCTTCTATTGGCTAGCGCTCCAACACATTTTACGTGATAGGCTAATGGACGGGACCTCTCTACGCAGTTGACCAATCCCAGCAGAGCAGGCCTGCTATGCAATCAGAGCAGACTGGGCTCTGGTTTCAGACGGAGGGTGAAAAGAGGTGCTGCATGTAAATGTAGAGGCACAAAATACAAATATGAAACCTGAAAATGAGCTAAATATGGCAGCTTTAATAAAAGATTAAACCATTATGTCAGCCTGTTGATGGACCTTCCGACGAGTGTGGCTCTTTCATTTGGTCTTTCCGTAGTATATCCTTTCTTCATCACAATGATTGGAGATGAGATTAGTGTATTGTGATTTAATAAAAAAGGTTTAATTCTAATGTACCAACTTAATTAGCCTTAACACGTTTACTGCCACACTGTATTAGTTGTTGTAGTACACATAATATTATTACAGGTTAAACAACCCCCCCCCCCTCCTCTTGCTCTCTGCAGGGTGTGCTTCTTAGGTGTCGTGGCTCTGGTGATCAGCTGGCTCTCCCTCGGGCTGGAGGTGGCTGTCTCTGCGGTAAGTGACTCCACCAGAGCATGATCCTTTTTTCTTGGTAGAGCAGCACAGTTCATTACCTTCAATTGGATAACAATGTTTTTGTGTTCTAAACCAAAGACTACTTAATTTGGCCTTGTAAGGAATTGTATTTCCCTTAATCTGTAAAGTTGAGGAGTTAAGATGATTAAATGGTGACAAAAAAAAACCCGAAAACATTTGTGTGATGTTTTGCAATGCTATAACCTCGTCATAAACATAACCTTAAATATCCCATTCTGCCATGTTTTGAGACAAAAAAACAGTTGAATTTCCATGTTAAATCTACCCCTTCTCCCTTTTTAAAAAAATCGAATAATATGTGTGTGTTGTTCATTTCAAATGTTTAACTGCTGAATGCAAGAAGTATCCTACTTGACTGAAACACATCACATGTCTGAGCTACATACTTCACACCATTCTGCAAAGTGAAACATCCAAGGGAAATAACATTAAGCAAAATACGTTTTTAAGTTAAATATTATCTGTTTGTTCACAACCACATAGGACCCGATAACAAACACAGAGTATTCAATAACTACAGAATGCTTTCACTCATTCAGTGAGAAATGCCCATTGGTTAATGATCGATTTTGATTTGTGATCAACATTGAAAGGAAAGTAATTGGGATTAGCATTGTCAGCAATATATTGCAGCTATTGTCACAGAATAACCCAAAGCAGCTGCCTTGTGGAGGACTGAATCTACTGTATTGATGCTGGGTCCTCAGCTGGAGTTGTCAACATCCCAATGTCAACATGTTTTTATAGCAGCAATCAACAACTCCCATGTTGTACTGTTGGTAAGCAGGGAAAATGTCACTACAACTTCCTCTTATTCACTGTCTTTATTTATTGTGTTTTTTTTTCTAGACCTCCAGTGACTTCTGTGTTGCTCCTGATGTATTTGTGACCAAAGTGGCAGACCAGTATGGAGTCATCAATAAAGGTATGGACGAATCACAAGTGTCACTAAAACTACAGGGATTACCGTGTTGTGTTAAGTTGTTTTTCTCATACAACTCTGTGAATATTAGTCATCTCAAATTGTGAAGGACGCCTGAATTGTTTGTCCCCTCCCCTTTCCTGGTTTGAATGCTCCGATTATTGTGCAGCAGTGAGGCGGCATTGTTCTAAAGAGTAGGTCAGGGTCTTGTCCATAAAATGACTCCCCTAACATCTGCGGCAAGGTCAAGAGGGCGATGAGTTGCCTTTTATAAGCCGTACAGAAGCCTCTCTAGTACTTCTCCTTGTAGTAATTGCCCAATCTGTCTCTTGATGGGATGCGTGTAAGGGGAAAAATGATAGAGCCTCAGGTTTGTGTGTGTGTGTGTGTGTGTGACGGAGATAAGAGCAGTAGAGGAGAGGATCAGGGAGCCAATATGTTTCCTGCATCCCTCTCCAGTCCTTGATAATAAAATGAGAAGATGGTGCTTAGAAATGAAAACACCAGGGACTTCCTGTCTACTTGATGTGCTTTTTTCCCCTGCTTCACTTCTTGTTGTTTTTTTCTGCTCTCTTCTCTAAAATATGGAGATTGCTGCATACACAAACCAAGCTGCTGGTTAGTCAGGGCAGGAATCAGAGCACCAGCTGTAAAATGTGTGATTTCCTCTGAACCACGAGCAACCAGCCTTCTCTGTTCTGTATTATGCTGCAGATATGGAGCTGTATTCTGCCCCAGGGCTGAAACTAGACAGAAACTATTTCAATCAGGACAATTGAAGAATATTTATCATAATTCCTGTCATTTTGCAAATTGCAAAAACAAAGTACACAAACTCAAGAGGTTTTATTTGCTTTTACTTCTCAGTTACCCTTAATTTTCTTAAATAAAGATACATCTTACTCGTGGTTTTATATTTTTGCTTCACAGCTCATACCTTCTTGTTATTTCACCAAACAAATCTCTGGACATCTCAAAGTATTTTATGACTACAGTACATTTATTGCACTCCTCCACTGGATAGCTGTTATATTTTCTGGTACATGCATCATTTTAACAGCCCTCATTGTTTTTTTCTATTCTTTTGCTTTCTCTTCATTGCGCAATTTTTCCAGACCCATGGTCTCAATCCAGATGGAAAGTGAGAGTTCATCTAAGCAATGTATCATGTTGCAGCCTGTATCACTCTGGGCTGATAGGTACATTAGGTAGATAACGTTTTGCAAGCTTGGAAAACACAAAACAGCTTGAAAACAAACCACTCTGAGAGCAACTTTACTGAAGCTATATGTAGGCTGCACAATAGGACAAAATATGCCATAACATTGTTGAGAATTGCAATATAATAATGACTTCCAATAGATAAACTTATATTAAATATACTTCCATCTGCCTTTCTGTTACTTTAGTATACAGCTCAAATACAACAAAATTCTTGTTGACTTAAAGAAATAAGAGGAAATTATTTCAAACATTCTTTTAGTGAAAACATTGAGCACTGAACTGAACACAAAGGGCACAAATTAAAGTGCAGTTTTCAATTGCAACGGGAAGGTCACCAGTTCAAGTCCCGGCAAGACCAAGTGCTACCGAGGTGTCCGTGAGCAAGGCACTGTTCCCTACACTGCTCCCCGGGCGCTGTACATAATAATGGCAGCACACTGCTCCTAACACTAGGATGGGCCAAAGGCAGAGAAACCGTTTCGTTACTAGCACCTGTACTATGTGATGACAATAATAGTTAAAAAAAGAAAAAAAGTAGCCAAATAGATCCCATAATGCAATACATCAAAGTCTTTAGCAATATGCTAATCGGTGCAGTTGACATGACGATGACAACGTTTTAAAAATACAAACACCCTATACAGTATCATCCCTAGCTTTAGGGACTGGCACAAGCTTTGTTTTGACTCCTTCACTCTGCCAGAATGTTAACCTGGAGGGATAAAGTGTTGCTAAATATCTATCCAATGAGAAAGCATGGTACCTTAGCCTGAGGCTGCTACTCACTGATAATCAGTGTTGATTGTAAAACAATCTTATGTTCTCAAATTCACAGTTACTGTAGCATTATTCTAGTGTTCCACCACTGAGTTACTTTCAGAACAAATTGTTCATTTTTTGCTACAGTACATGGAACAGTGGCAAAACCAGTAACAGAATTATACTAAGGTGTTTCTTGAAACTTCTATAGCCATATTTTGTCTTCTTTCTGCCCACTGCATACTGACAGCCAGGATTTATAAGTGATAAGTCAAACAAGAATGTCAGTCTTTCCAACCATTACCATAAGTCAGATTCTAAGAAACCTTCTCTTCCTGATATGTATGTGTGTGGGCGTATTGGTGGTTGAAGCCTGCTTGAAATACACTTCTCCTACCGGAAATCCTCCTCATCAGTTCACTCAACTGTGTGGGAATGAAGCTCCTGACTCAGCAGTGAGCGCGCACGTCACTCCATGTGCTCGCTCGGCGCTGGTGTTCTCACAGCTTGTATTTGTGGATGTAGCTGTTGCTTTTGAGTCACTTAGGAGTTCTCATCCACTCCTACTCACTGCTGGGACTTTGGAACTGGAGTGGGATGTTATAGCCGGTGAAAGTCTAAAACATTAATTACAGTCTGCTGTAAACTGTGAACTATGAACAGAATGCAAGTTTGGTCATGTTGTAGTTTTAACAATAACTCAAAGGGTACCTGAGCTTTTCTATGGCTTTGTGTTCTTTTGTTGTGTAAGTGTTGCCGCATCATCGGAGAAATACTTCATACTTTTCCACCATGTGAACCTTATTATTTTGGAAAATTGCCCCTCAGTGCTTAGCTCAGCAGGAGTGCAGTTACAGGAGCACAAAATACCACGTCTCTGCATCGGCCTGTTACCTGGCTGTTGGCCTCTCTCCCAGAACAAAACAGTGGTGGCTGAAGCAGCAACTTAGCAAAGAAATATCAAAACGCCACATTAAATGCAGATATCAGAATCCAAATACATGACTACGTTTGAATTATTAATATAAGAATGAGCAGCTATGATTGAATATAATAAAAAAGACACTGTTCTTATTGTAGTCCTAACACAGTGTGGGAGAATCTCTGCCAAGCCCCTATGTCAGTTTTTAGAAATAGTCAAATAGAATATTGCTGCAACTACCATAATTGTTATTATTATCGATCAATCTGCCAATTATTTGCTCCATTTACATAATTATTTCTCTGATCAATGATAGACGATTTCAGAATTTCCTTTCTTGAAACCATATCTCTTACCGGTTCAATGTTTCATGACTAACAGTCCATAACACAATCGTGTTGACATCTTGACACACACAGGTGTTTGATTCCAATATCAGTGTTTGGGATTTTATGAAAATAAAATTGTATTTTCAAACATAGTTAGGCATTTTAGTGAGACATCTGTATTAATCTTATGATAAATAACCATAATAAGCAGAAAATGAATTAATTTTTGCAGGATCGTTAATGAACATTCTTGTTCATCTTTCAGCCCTGTGTGTGAATGTATGTGGCTCTGCTGACATATTCTGTTCCTGCTGTCCTCTATATTCACAGATATCCTGATGCATTACCTTAGTTGCAGTTTGGAAAAAACCAACCCCTTCCAGCAGGTTTGTTGCATATATTACATTTGTTTCTAGAGTTTTTAACATCTTAAACCAAATAATTTACCCTTCAGATGATTACCCAAATACATGTTTTCCTATTATTTTACTAGCTCAACGTACATGTGATACTCAAATCTCAGCAGATATAACTATCTGTGTGTGTGTGTGTGTGTGTGTGTGTGTGTGTGTGTGTGTGTGTGTGTGTGTGTGTGTGTGTGTGTGTGTGTGTGTGTGTGTGTAACATGCAACATGCACTAGCATCGGAGAATGTGTGTTAGAAGCTAGGGAAGAAAAGTGGCACTTTTACTGTGAATCTATAGTCTGCACTAATGGACTAGCTTTCATTTCATTTTGCAAACTGCATGAATAACTCAAAGCGTTTGTGTGCTGCTGAGGTCTGGCCTGCTATTGTTAGAGTGTAAAGAAAAGGAAGCTATATATACAGTATGTAAGCCTTTAATCTCACATCTATAAACGATCAGCCTCTACTAAATCTCCACGTGACTTCACACTGAAAGCTCTTGCTAATGTTTAAAATAATGGAAATAGTTTTGAGATGTGCCGGGCTGATACAGTATTCTTCATTTCAGAAGCTCTCTGGGAGCCACAAAGCGTTAGTGGAGATGCAGGACGACGTGTCCGAGCTGCTGCGCTCTGCCACCAGAGAGTACAAACAGACTCAGGTACATTACCAGCCCCAGCACCACACTCTTCACTGGACATGCCAAATTACAACATTACCACATTCAAATGTCTGTCCCATGGCAAACGGATCAGGGTTATAATGTTTCATTTGAAATTGGAAAAGATAAAATACAAGGAGTTTTTCATCCTTCAAATGTTCCCTTGTGTTACCTAGAACTCTTCAAGACTTTGTTTTCCTTGGATGCCTCCTTGGTGAAAAGAGAATTAGAGTAAATCATTGATGAATGGATGTTAGGTTGAACTGCAGTAAAACTATTCCTGAGTCTCATTGGTTTAGTGATTTGCTCCCATACACATTTAACCCACTTTCGATTGTGAAACTCCCTCTGAAGGGAACTATGTGATTTTAGTCTTTGCAGACCATTAACATGCACTTCAGCCTTTATAACACACTACAGGAAAAGGAAAACCCAAAAAAGGATTTATATGTAAAAATAATAAATATATACAAATGTTAAAATTGTTCATTTTACTAAGCAATATATTTCATTCCAAAAATAAATGCTACATCACATGGTAGCTGTTTCCATACACAGTCCCGTCCCCCCACACCTTATCCGTGCTGTTTGTGATGACTAATGGCAGTGAATGGGACTGACCTGCAGAGAAGTGAAGTGCACCTGTCCATAAAGACCTGCTGACGGCCCACCTGGGACCTGCATTATGTCCATTTAGCTGCATTAGGCTTTCACCGGCCCTTGTCAATACATCGCTGTGGTATTGTCCAGTGCCGGTCCTTACACTGTGTTGACATAGGCACAAATGGGAGCTGACATTGGGAATACAGCGGGGTATATTTCACTTGACATAGCCACACAGGGAAATGTGCTGAGGTCGTGGAAATGTTTATATCAGGCTATTATCAGACGTATTTTCTGTCGGAGCTGCACGAAGAAGGGGAGTAGTCCATTAAAATGTATCATACATTAAAATCAGCTTTCTCAGCTAGAGCTGCTGTTGTATATTGATGAAAGACACTGATGTGTAGAATGCATAATCAGGGAATAATCCATTTTAAAAATTGGTTTACTTCCTTATTTTTGCAACTGTAAGCGTTTACTTACAAACAGGAAACTACGACTTAGCATTTTTCCAATGTAGACAATGATAATTAAATGCATTTTATTATTTTTTTCCAATGTATTTTATGGTCGTTTGTGGGATCCAAGAATACTCAGGTTCTAATGTTCGATTTTCAAATTAAGTTTGTGTTTTTTCCTCTTTCATTTCCAGCGAGATTTAGAAGAGATCCAGGGGATCCTGAACACCACGGAGATCAGCCTTCATCAGCTCACCGCTCTGGTGGACTGTCGCAGCCTGCACATGGTGAGCAGGGAGGAGGACACTTACAAACGGAGACATGCTTACTGTAGGGTTGCTCCATGTCTATTTAAAAAAGGGCCCAGCGATGTGATCTGTTGCGACGTCTTCACAGTGCAGCGTAGTTGTACAAAGCAACCTCTCTGTTCATGCTTGTGCAGCTGAATACACCTGTCACCATTAATAACATTTGCTCTCCTGAATGCGAGTTCTTGTCCAATTGATGCTGGCTTTGTACTCTTTATGAAGCTTGCTGAATGACAAGTACTTGGCTATCGCTTCGCTTGGGAGGATTGTCCCTCAGCGGCGTCCAAATTCCAAGTGCACACATGCAAGAGCAGCACTTTCTCTCTGCTTTCTGCTCAGCCTTCTCTGCTTAACATCCAGCCGCCAGAGCTTATTATTTCATGAAAATAAGAGTATCTCCAGGAGAATACCAAATGTGTTACTGCTGCGCTGTGCATACAGGAGGAAGATTTGTACTCATGATATTATGGGGTGAGTGGGGTTCTTTTCAAACCTAGATCGAAATGCACTGCTTGTAGGCCAATAGTGAGCTCATTGCTTTGACCTAGTTTTAAATTGAGAAATCTCAGCAGATGCATTTTAAAAACAGCCTTTCCACTACCTCTTCAATCTGGTTTTACTCTATTTCATTTCTTAGTGGTTTCTCAAATATCTTTAGATGTTTGAATGCAGCATCTGATGTTATTATACCTGCCATAATAAAAGTGGTGTCTCCGCCTCTTCTTGCAGGACTTTGTCCAGGGCATGACGGGGCTGTGCTACGACGGACTGGAAGGCCTCATCTACCTCGTGCTCTTCTCCTTCATCACTGCCCTCATGTTCAGCTCCATTGTTTGCAGTGTGCCTCACACCTGGCACAGCAAGAGGTGAGACATCCATTGCATATAAAGCCATCCACTCGTAACCACATAGGAACCAGTGCAAAGCTTTTAAGCTCCTCTGCAGCCCTGTGTATACACTGAGAAATAATTTAGGAGGAAAAGCCTATCAATTAATTATGATTTCATGGCCGTTTTCTTAACCCTCTCGTGCTTGTTTTTACACACATGGGAGTGAAGCTACGAAGTCAGGATTGATTGACACGATTATGGTGTGTGTTAGGCTTTGTTTACCACTAGTTTGTCTATAAGGCTACATCCTCAAATAGATTGCTTCCTGCATAATTGTGCTGAGTGAGCTGGTATCTTCTCCTCCAGCCGAGGGGTGAAATCATCCTGATGTCTTCGTCATATCAGCGGCAGATAAGGTTTGCAGGACGGCTCAGGGGAAAGAGGTTTTCCCAGCTGTCAGCTCAGCTGCACTCATAATGAAGTGATCCCTCCTAACAATCAGAAGCATGTTGATCAGTTTGGTCTCAGCTGGGGCTTCCTGTTATAAACCAAAGGATTACAAGCCGCCAGTGTGTTTTCTCAGTGGTCCACACTAAGCTTTTACTGTTTAATGATGCAAGATTACTACATGATATAAACCCTCCTGGAGTTAGGTGAGAATGTTTAATGTTTCTAGGATTGGTATCCGATATGTATACTCTGTAAGTTACTCTCAGGTTAATAGATGTATTGAAAACTGCCCTGAATTATTATCTGTGATCTCATGTGTTAGCTATGCAGGGAAATGCCTAAGGGATGAACACTAGAGGGAGACAGGCTCCATGACAACGCTATCATTGTTGCTCTGTTTTGACATGTTTAGTGCATTGTTGTTATTTAGCTTCACAACTGGGATCACTTTCTCTCTGCAGGAAGGAAGCCACTGCTTTTTTTTTTTTTAAACAACACGAACAAATGCATTTATTGTCCTGATGCAAATAAGGGCCGTTACATTTTCCTGCATAAACTTGATCCAATTACATAAGGCTATTTTTACCGTCTTTTTGTATCCCCATTGAGGTCAGTGGGAAACAGCATCTTTGCTTCACACAGCAGAGAGAACTCACCGTGTGTTTTCTGCCCGCTGCCATGAAGGTGAAACAAAATGTGAGAATAATCACAAATGTGACCATGTGGCACTTTTAGACTTCTTTTGTTATCAGTCAGTCAGCACACAGGGTCCCTCTGGTGGTGGTAAGGTTGCAGTGCAGCGTGATCTTTAGGTCTGCAACTGACTATTTTCATTATCAATCTACATAGTAAAAAACAAATGTTCCAGTTTCTCAAAATCCAAGGTGATATCTTTAAAAGTCTTGTTTTGTTAGACCAAGACCTAAAGATATTAACATTATAGTATATTAATAATAATACATTACATTTGTGCCTTTCAAGGGACCCAAGGCCGCTTTACATTGTGAACAAACAAACAAAAGGGCTAAATAATAAATTAAAAACGAAATAAAGAGCAAGGGGACTGTGATGGGTTAGGGGTCAAAGGAGTTTTTAATGATGACTTGAAGATGTCCAGGGAAGCAGAGAAAAGTTGTGATGATACATGTTTTAAAGGATAAATCATTATAAGATAAGATAGAACTTTATCCCAAAGGAAATTGTTGTGCCAGAGTTTCAAAAATACAATAAACACAGCAGCATAATAATACAACTGTACACTAACATTGCAGTAAAAAGAGCAATTCAATATCTACAGGAAACATAGACGGTCACATAATTAATGTAAATATTAACAGTATTTAGTAGTGCAAAGAAATGTCGTGGCAGATACGTAATTGCACGTTATTATAGAACATTATTAATAATAATATTGCACATGTTATATAGCAGAAAGTGTTTTGTAATGATGGTAATGGTTTATATTGCACATAGTGGGGGTGTGGAAGTTCTCAGTTCCCTTTACTGAAGGGTGAAGAGTCATAGAGTTTGATGACCACTGGGAGGAAAGACTTCCTGTGGTGGTCTTCGGTGGTCTCAGTCTACAGCTGAAAGTGCTAGTATTATAGTTGTATTTGTCAGTTTTTTTACTTATCCATTGGTTGACCGAAGGACTTCTGTTGATTGCAGGGACGACGATGACAGTGAGGATGAGTCTCTGAGCCACGGGGGGCGGCAGAACCACGACAACCTGTACCGGGTCCACATGCCCAGCCTGTACAGCTGTGGCAGTAGCTACGGCAGCGAGACCTCCATCCCTGCCGCCGCCCACACCGTCAGCAACGCACCTGTCACCGAGTACATGTGAGTCACCGTGCAGCAAACCACTGAGAACTGAGGAAAACCAGAAGTGGTAGAGAATGTATTTTCACAACCAAACCAGGTGGCAGATATTAGATATGTCAGGAGTCCGGTTTTATGTTCCCTCAGAGTCAGGCAGTGGACAGCAGATGCAGCTGTTGCTCTCCAGCTGTGAAGCCTGTGAAACTCAAACTCATGAGTGTTCAGTGTTGGGGGAAACTGGGGGAGGGGACCCTGTAGTTTCTGTGTTTTTAAGGCCTTGGTATGCTGGAAACTGACGTGGAGAGTTGCATGTGTGCAGTATATGGTTTCATACCTTTAAAGCAGTGTGTTGGGGTTTATGCTCTTCTCAGCTCGCTATGTTTGATCCCACTGTTTGTTTAACTCAACAGGGCTCAGAACGCCAACTTCCAGAACTCTCGCTGTGAGAACACTCCGCTGATTGGACGAGAGTCTCCTCCGCCCACGGTAAGTTTTGCATTTCCTCAACAAACAAAAAAATACACAAGTATAGAAACACCTACGGAATATATATATCTCAAGTCTCTGCTGAAACTGTAGAACCAACTTCTAGGCATTTGGCAGTATCTCTTGAGGGGCTGACAATTCAAACTTGTTGAAGAAAATTATATTAATTAATATTCATATAATGATGAAGCTAAAATCAGGAAGCTAACAATGAAATAAGAGCGTTCCTGTGTGCGTTTCCATCACATCTAAAGAAATTAGAAAACCATACAAATAAATCCAAAGACACATACAAAAAAAACGCGTTGCGAAACACCTTTTACAGTCGTCATGTTCATTTTCTTTTTCACTGTTATGGGAACTTTTTTTCAACAGCAGAAATGCAGAGAAGGGAAAGGAGATTGCAAATTTTCATGCATAAGAACATATTTTCTTAACTCCTCCTCCTCACTCACTATATTCCCTTATTGCCCCTCGCAGGACAGCAGGTTCCTCTCTTGTTCACTCGCTCGTTTACTCTTTATTCGATGAGTGTGGAAGCCGACAACAAACCATGTAAAAGTCCAGATTGTTCAAATCAAATTAGGAAAAGACCTCTCTCCTACAGAAACTCAATTGAGTCCGTCACTCCAGACAAAACACAGGTTTAGTTCCTCAAAAGCTTTGTGGTACCGAGGGTAAGTTGCTGCGCTCCAAGCGCCCAAATAAAAAACAGAGACTATACCTGGACCTTTTTTATGAATAGGGATGCAAAACAAATACATCATTTGTGTCAAACTGCCACCTGACATGAAATGTGTCTTGGATAGCGATGTTTTCTGTCTTTTATTTGATACAAGTTGGGCGGGGGGGGAATAAAGAATCCGGCACACTGTCACTTGACCTCATTTTATGAATTTAAGACCTTAGACACATTCGTAAAGACAAACAGCAGCACCATACATACAAACATGACCAGCTCTCACCGAGGATTTATATTGAAAAAGATCATTGCAGAATTATAGGAAAGTGTTGCGGGCATCCTCTGATTGGCAGATCTTTTCCCGGGTGATAGCCAATAGCTTAAATGTCAATGTTGCTGTTGTTTGTCTATATCTTCCCGAAGGTCTGTATAAGCACCAATGATAGATCGTATGTGGAGTCTTTGTTTGATTTTGGTCATACGCGCAAGTCACTAGGACTTCTTGCTGTGTGTTTTCTGAAATTGTGTACCACTTTGACCATGTTAGGAACACACCTCAGTGACTCTCCCCAGCCTGAACCTCTAGCAGAAGCCCCCCACCCTCCCTGGTGTCCGTGTGTCTGCCTGGACCTAGACGCTGCTCTGTGTATCTACTCTATACTCTCTTCTTGTTTTCCTGCGAATCCATCCAGTTGTATTTGACTGCCGCGGACAGTAACAGCGGTCAGAGCTGGCAGTTAAAGCCTTCGGAGAGTTCAAGATCCTTTTGGTAACCTCATCTGCTACAGTGTGCTAACAGGTACAAAATAAGCCCCGCCTCCTCCCCCCCTGCTGGCCTGTTCCTCCTCTGTACCACCTCCCAAACTCCCGGCTCACCCTCTGTTCAGGTCCCACCTGGGCTGCTGGACCCCCCTTCCCCCACTCCACCCTCTGTCCTGACTCTTGCGTGTCTCACCTAAGTTTTGTGTCCTGTGGCCCTGGGCTGCATGTGTCCCTCCCCCCCGCACCACAGATGTATTGGGAGGAACATGTGAAGCTTTATCGGCCCTGAGGCTCACCGAGTCAAACTCTCTGGATCTGCTTTGTCTCGGTTTGGAGGGGGGACCCGGGGGCTAAGAGAAGAATATTTCTCACTTTTATTTAAAATAACAAAGGCTTCTGTTATTGGGTGTGCAGCACAGAGAAAATACCACATGACGGTCCCAACTTTGTTTAGTATGACCTTGTATATTTTTTAGCAGACGTCTTATTTTTGACTTTTACTCACTTCCACTGCATTTTGTCGTATAGACAAATCTGTCAGCTACGACGGAGTATTAGGGCCACACTTAGAAAAAAAACACATGGAGATTTCGAGAATAAAGTCGTAATATTACGAGAATAAAGTCATAGTTACGAGATTAAAGTCGTAGTTTCATAAGTGACTTGAGAAGGAGACAACAGCAGCGTCCTGCAATAAAATGAGGAATGTGGAGCATCTTGTGAAGCAGTACTTTAGTTTAGGTTTCTCAAATAACGAAGTACTTAATCTTTTGGCACATCAGCATCAGATTATCATAAGTATTAGAACTTTGAAAATGTTGTGCAAGAAACTATGATTATTATTTTGAAGAAAGAACCAAACGGACTTGGAGGAGATTGTCTCCTTCCTTTATTCTCGTAACTATGGCTTTATTCTCGTATTATTACGACTTTATTCT